GGAGTTTGATGTAAGATTCCAAGTAAGAGAAGGAAAGAGGTAATAGCCACAACTTAGACCGGTTCGACCAGATAAGTTTGTGCCACATCGTCAGAATCCCCTCTTTACCACGAATCTCGTGGTTAAAACGCCTACGAATTACAGTCAAATAAGCTTACTTATAAATTTTATATTGTTGTCGGTATTTAATATCTATGGTAAACTGATAACGTGAAAGAAGTTACTTTGAATAATGTTCCTAAGATATGCATACTTTTGGACTCATTCTCTATCATATGATCAATCTAGTACTTCGAAAAGTGTTTTCTTAGATACATTTGGTCGTTTCTTTTTTTTCTCTCTCTCTCTCTTACATAAGTGTACTCTTAATTAATCTTGGAAAAAGTAAACATAAATGACGTTTCCATGTAGTTTAACATACTTTGGTAATAGTGAAAATTCATCTTCAACATATCTGCTCAGAATGTTTTAACATGAAATGTAAAGAAATGAAAATTACTAATATAAAAAATTTATTTTAAATAATTTTAGTATTGAAGAATTTTAAAAATAATCAATAATAATAGTTTGTTATACAATTGTTTGAATAATACATTGGTTTATGTCATAAATTATATGATCATCTCAACCTTTTTAAGGTAAAAACCAATGAAAATTTTAATCAACATGAAAAGTATATTATGCAAGTATTGAGTTTATTGGTGATGTGAATGACTTTCAGATAATATACTCGAAATAATCTGAATGTGATTGTTTGATATCAGTGTTAAATTACTCAGCAGCATGTTGTCTTAATTTTTTCAAAATTTAAATTTCAAGAAACCAATTGAATAGATAAAATTGAGTTTTGTCGTATTAAACACGTATAAATTGAATGATATTATGTTTATTTGTATTTAAAAGAAAAAACAAAAAGATCAACATTTAGTTATCTGTCAGTGAACTTCACTCTCAATAATTATTAAAAAAATTTTTATATTTTAGTGTTAATTTGTATAGTTCTAGAAGAGAGTTTGCAATTTTTTTTTAGAAAAAACTCTCTAATAAGTAAAGAATGTATTTGTGGTATTTTCGAGTAACAGAAATTAATTAAATTTTGCAATAACGAATTAGGTCTTAACTATGCTTTCTAGAAGTATATTAATGAGTAGAGACTAATTTTTGGTAAATTTTCATGAATGAAACTATTAACAAGTATAACAATGAAAATTGGTCAAATTCTATTGATCAAACTATTGACATCAACATATATATTAATTGAACCAATAAATTATACTAATTAAACTGATGATGGTAAAACTTATAAGATAAAAGATTAAAACTTATCAAACTAATGGAAAAAACTTATTTACTAAGTTAAAACTACCAATTCTGTAAAATAAATAAGAATGATTACTTTTTGTTAATAAACATGTATATTGAATAATGATAAAAAAAGTCAACATAATATTGATGATTTGTGATATTATGGCCTATATTTCTATAATTAAATGTGATTATTTTTAAGAATTTAATCAGTAAATAAATTTAAACTAATTATCGAGTGAAATTTCTGCTTATTAGACGAATCAGCATAATTTTTACTTATTTATTTATAACAAGTAAATGTCAATAATTAAAATCCAATACATAGGTAAAACATTTTATTACTCAACTTTAAATATTTGTAAGTTTTAAAAAGGTCTATAAAAACTTTGCAACAAAATATATCCAACTTTTTGGTATAAATTACGTTAACTCTCATACAAATTGAATTAGAAAAATTGAAAAATCATTTAAACATGGTGAATTATTCTAGTTTCATCTATTTTAACAAGTATGTTAATTTTATACCATTTAATTCGTTTTCTGTATTTGTTCTATTTTTGTATCAAGAATGGATATTTAAATTATTGAATAATATTCTAGAAGAAGCAATAGATAAAAAATTGTAATCGTTTTTAATTGTATTGAAACCGGATAAGGTGTGGGAAGTTTGGGTATGACAATACCTAAATATGCACATGACCCACGCACTTTCCTTCACTGACTCAAAGTTGTGATTCTTTGTCCACACGATTTCGTAATCTATACTTAACTATTAGTAAACAATTATACTGTGCATAATTTAAATATTATTTTGAATTAAAAGTTTTTTTGGCTAATAATTTATTGGCAAAACATTAATTTTTTGCAATTTAAGTAATCATTTTTTTTTAATGAAAAATAAATAAATAAAAAGTAAGTTTCTTCTTATATTAATTTTTAAATAATGTTCTTCTAACGTTTTTGATTACTACAACTGTATATATTAATGTATACAATTATTTACTATGCTATCTATTTTGGAGTACAAATTGAAGGTAAATATTTACCCTAACGACTAAGAGATTATTAGTAAGTAATCTTTATTTAATCATCAAATAAAAATATCAAATAGTTACACGATTTTAACTAGATACTTTTGCGTAAAATAATTAATAACCAGTATTTATTTAATAATAACATTAAACATTTCAATATTAAATAGACCAATCATATTAAATTTATGAATAGACATATTTTTTTTTGATAAAAAGATAAAAAATAAATACAATGTATTATTTTTCCGTAAAAAATAAATGAAAAATTTATAGTTTATGTGAAAAATGATGTAGAAAAGTACTTTGACTAATATCTATGTGTAACTATTACTTACTTTAATCGATTTACATGATTTTATAGAAAAATTGATATATGTCCACGTTAAATTTATTGAAAATTTATTTTATTTTTTTACTTAGAAATTTAATAATATTCATTTATTTACTCGAATATTGTATAAAAAATCTTTTAACATAAGATTGACAATGATTATTGACTATTATAGCGTCTTTAATTCTGTTTTCCCAATCCTGACACGAGTTTAAAATTCTTTCATTGCTGATTTTATTTTTTAAAATTTTTTTTTTCGATGAAATGTTGTCATCATATTTTCTTACAAGTATTTTAATCATTTAATATTCATATTTTTTAAAAGATTTTGAAATTTTGTCTAAAAATGGTATAATTTATAAATTGCAAAATTCAAGTCGTTCTCCATTTTTGCCAGTTTTTTGATTCTGCATAAGAAACTACTGGACCGATTTTGTTGAAAACCTAATCCTGGTGATTGGCGCCCTTGGAGGGATGAGGGACCGCTTTCTGACAGAGCTTCGAACAATACCAGTCTGCCGCAGTCAGACTGAGATTCTCGCGGCTCGTATGCAGAAAGCGGTCATCCTTGGTTCTCTCCGAATCCTGAGACGATTGTAAAAATTTCGACTGAACGGCTGCAGCCCCGGCTCACCCTCAAACCTGAGGGAGTCGGGTGTCTGCAGGATAATCCCGTCTGGTCAGGCCCCAGGTGGGTTGGAGCCCTGGGATCCCTGGCCAGACACCTCTGACGAATCGCAAGATAAAAATAATAATAATAATATAAACACAACACTTAGTAAGGATTGAATACGATTAAGGAGAGAAAAAATAAAAATTAATTTGTAAAATAAATATAATATATTGGTACAAATATTCAAATAACGTTTTGGCTCCAAATATAGTGAGTACAATCTACTTGAAATTGTAATCCGCTAGAGAGCTATTAAAAAGGTTTGTCTTTGATGTTACTAACAATTTTATACATTATATTATAAAGCAACATTTCAGATGGTAATTCCTTGCATCCTTAGGAATTGATAAAAAAATTATAAACTAATACTTCAGTTGAAACCACCTTTGAATTTCAAATTTACATTTCATTATTTATTCAAAACTATGGTTTAGAAGTATACTTTTGATTTTCAAACTAAACTGAGGTTAATAATGTAATAAGAAATTTTTTACCATCATTGTACATTTTTGGTATTAAGATATCAATAAAACAAAGATTCATTAAACTGTTTTATTTAATGCTCTCGAATATCATGTACTCTGTTTTATTTATAAATAAGAATTTAAAAAAAATGTATACGTTACAAATAATTATTTTTCGATTCAAAAATAAATAATTAAAGCTGATTTTATTTAATCAATAAGTTTAGCTTCTTTATTAGCGAAACTATGATTGTTTACTATCCATTGTCATTGATGTAATGAATTTTGCCACATATTTGAAGATTATTGTAAAAACAATATGACTTAAAAATAGTGATTATTTACTCTCTTGTAACTTTTTAATCAATTGGTTTTTTCTGGAATCTCTGTTGAAGAAAATTTATTACAAATATTGATAAATTAAAGAATTATCAGGGAACTTTATCATAAAAAATTAATTTCAATTATATATATATATATATAATTTAGAACTCCAAATAAATTAATTTTTTACTCAAATATTTTTGTTTTAATTTTTTTATAAACGCTTTACATATGTAAACACACTGTTTACTTGGATTAACTAAAGATGAACTGAAATGAGTTGCCAAATAGAGAAAATGGTTTGATGAGCGAGATAAAACTTCAAGAATTTACATACAACTCTAGAAATTCATCTGCTTCTTTTGTATTTTACGTATGGTCATTTTCAATTGCATAATTAGAAGTCATTGTAAATGAAACTTCGGATACAGGATAGGTGTGCACAATTTTTGATTACGTAACATTTTGTGTATTGGTAAACGAATGTTAGAGAAGAAGAATAAAGCAACTAAATGTGAATATAGATGTTGATCACACTTTAAGATATATTAAAATAAAATCACTAAGACAAGAGGTCGCTTCAGTTCCAGCGCGCATTCATATAGACAATTAAATGTCAAATGATGTAAATAGGTGAGTATCAGAAAATATTAATTTATGTCATTTATATAAATATTTCATAAACATATATTTATGATATATTTTACCGAAAGAATTTGGAGTGTGTATTAGAGCTGTGTATTACAAACTCATGGGAATATTTTTAATTTCAGAAATAGAGAATGCACATAAGGTGCACAAGAGAGTACATATTTGAGAAACGATACAGTGGTTGCTGTTTGCGTATCATATATCAGTAATCTCACCTTCTCTTTTGCTCTGCCTGCATGTTTCTGCACTGTTTTGGCAATTAACGCACCTTTACTTTCAGCCATTGTATCACTGGTATTAATATTTCGTTTAAATTTTGTTTTAATGAATAATCACACTAATTCCGTTTGACTTTAAATTCTTTTTTTCCACACTATCTACTAAGAAACTAGACAACTGCACTGCTTGAAGTGCCGTGAGATACTGAAAATGTTTCACGTTCTAGCTATATCACGTAGCCATGTTTTATAAGTTGTCATCATTGCCGCTAGGCGAAGTAGTAGCAATTCTAAAAAACTCGCACAAAAATTTTAAATGGAATTTTTTCTTTGAAATAAGTATAAACTTATTGCAATTTACGTCTTAAAAAACGTAATTTATTTTTATAAATATAAAATATCATTTTAGTCAACAAAAATTTCATTTTTCTTTATTTTTTAAGGATAAAAATGAAAATTCTTTTATACAATTGCCTTCTTTTTTTTTAGTATTTTGTACAAATTAGTTATAAAAAACACTTTTTTAGTCTCAAACAATAACTTATTGGAAAATTATCATATATGATTTCACCAATAATAAATATTGGAAAAACTAGTAAAAATGTATTTCTAATATTGTACAATAATATTTTTCTTATGAAAATTACTAACGTTAATTATTTACAAAATACTATTATTATTATTTGAATAACTAAAAATTAATTACGCTATCATCAATTACATAAGTAAATATTTTGAAATTAGAATTAATTATTTGTCGTAGTAATTAAAATAAAAAAATCTTGAATATGCACATATAATAGCAACTTTGTTATTAAAATATTGATACAAGTTTTTTATAAACAGATCTATTCCGTGCCGACATAATTACCAAATACCTCAGATCTCAATGAAATATAAAAAGTAAAAAAAATTCATAACATGTACTAGCACTAATAAAATAATAACATTCTATACTTATAACCATTATTTATGATCTTCTTATGTAAATATAATTCCATTTATTAACTGTTAATATGTAAAATTCAGGTGATACATCTACAAAAAAATATAATTGTAAATAAGTAGTGGGTATGAACAAATAAATACAATTAACCACAACAAAGATAGATTTATAAGTGGTTTTATTAATAAATTATTTTGAATTTTTTTCTTTTTTGATAAGGATTGCTCGAAAAACAAATTTCATGGTAAAAATCTACTTAACACCAGAACCGACAGATATTAGCTGTTAATATTCTGGAGAAACAAAATAGCATTACACAATTGATAATAAATTAAAAAAAGTACAATGAATATCGGTGCTATGTATCACAGAATGTGCGCAACAATAAATCATTTGTTTAACGTTAATATTCTATTGCATTAGTTTGCGCACGGACTGTAATTACATTTAATAGGAATTTACAAATTTTGGACCTGTACATGTCGATTTTATGTTACCTAAGATAAATATGCTTTCAAAGTCTTGAAAAATTTGGATAAGGCAATAACCAATCTGGCAACAAGGGCGCACCAGGTCCTGGCATCTACCGTTTTTTTATGTTAAATTTTCATTTATTTATAAAATTCATTTTCTCTTACATTCTCACCTTTTTTCACGCTTCATCCATCCTTACAGTCAGGTAGTCAATTTTAGTCAGTTCCGTCAATTGGTCACAGTCTTTTTCCTTTCTTAAATAAGTCGACTAATCTCTGACAATATTTTTTTGCGCCGATTGATTTATAAATCCACTAATGCAATTGTCAAAATTGATTCTTGTTTTGTTTTAGAAATATATTTTCTCTTCATGACCATATTAATGTGAATGGTTACAAGTTATGTTCACATCGCATACATTAGCAGTAGGTCAGTACATAAAGATGTTTTGGGACAGAAATTTTGACGCTTAATTTTAAATTTCAGATGTTTTCACAAGGATCAACATCAAATATTACTTTTGTGTTAAAATATCATAATTTTTTTATATTCATTTTAAAATGGCAAAGACGTGATTATATTTTTATAACTATTTTAAAAATAATAATATTAATAACTATAATTATAGTAACAGTTACAATGAAAATAGTAATAATAATAATATTTATAATAATTAATAATAATAAAAGTAGTAGCAATAATAATAATTTCAATGTCGCTTTGGTAGGCGCACATAGTGGTCTGTAACAATTTTATCATTGAAACTCTTATTTCTATCTTGAATCTAATTTGATTTTTATAGTAAATTTTGTTGTATAAGAAAGAATTCTATAAATAAAATAAGAGTGTCAACCGTATTTTCAATTCAACAAGAAACGAAAAAATGATTGAGCATTTGTTGTAAAGAAAATTTCGTGTCAAGAATCAACGTAATTTTGCGATACAATCAAACAAAAAATTCAATTACTGATCAGTCACCATACATACAAAATTGGACATTTAATCGATTGCATTACTTATTATCATGTAAATTTGATTAATTTTACGTTTTTTTATACACTTTCTGTCCCAAAAATTACAGTCGCACAGTGCACCTCCAACCATGTATTTCATAAACCTGTACAAAAATTGATTCTGATTTATTTTATATTTATTCATGGTACAATATTAATGTATTTAAAATGTAACTTATGTAACCTTATTACGGATTAAAGATGGCTGAATTCCAGCACGACCAGACTTTGGTCGATTGGAGCTAACAGACAAATACGCTCCTTCGAGGGTTAAATCTCGATATCTTCTTTATTTTAATACAAACATTCATTATCCAATCTCCCACTTGACTATGCAATGTCTCTAATTATCTAGCTATATACTCTATATAAAATATCGTTATGTAACTTAAACGTGTTGGGTCTTGCTGGAATACGGCCCATTTATCTTACTTTTTCAATTTTTCCTTTTGTATTATTATTACTGTCTTTCCTTGTTTATTTTATTATTAAATTTGTTCCAGGCAACTTTCAGTCAATGATTAGTGCTCCTACTCAATACCACTAACTAGAAGTCTGTCGTTGGTCGGTCATATGTTTGATTCCCAGCTGTTCTTTCTTGGCGGCGCAATTATTCTTAATATTTAATCAATTTTACACTTATTTAATATCAAATCTTTTATTTAAATTCTAGTTCCCTGGTTCTCCTCCATCTTCGTGTTTTCTTTTTTTACCTCGCACAGGTGATGCATCTATAATAAAAATTTATCATTATTAGTTGATGGTGTTTTTTTAAAATTAATTTTTAATTGATCAAAAGAGAATTGTTTATCTAAAACTTAATTTTTGGGTTGCTTTCAAATATCATAGAATTTAATATATTGAGGCTCATTTAAAATTTAGCAGTATAAGATTATCTTATTTACTTAGTTTACTATCGTATTTGTTATGATTCATTAGTCAAGTCGACGTGAATATCATGTTCAAAATACTTTATACTCAAATCATTCTAAATTGCTTTTAAAAAAATAATGTATCATTCATTTTATTATTCACTTATTTTTCGTAGACTTTTAACGTTATTTTTGCTATTTTCAAAGTAATTACAAACAAAACTATTTGCATAAGTTTACAATATTCACATGCACAATTTTCTTAACTTTTTTTTTAATTATCTAAAAATGTAATGTTAATTCTAAAAAATGCAATAAAAAATCTTAGTATTTAATTTCGGATATTTTCGTTATGCTAGTTATTTGATTTAATAAGACAAGTATTTTTACATACCTTCAAGGGCGCTTCCATCTGCTTGATCAGAAAGTCCATCATGACTATCTTCATCATCGTCGTCATGATCATCTTCCTCATCTTCTCCATTTCCGTCATCATCATCATCACTACTCTCATTCTAAAACATAACAATGTCAAATTGTTATCAAGAAGGTTTAAGTTTTTAATTATTGATAATCAGTATAGTTGCTTGTAAATAATTATAATTTTGTACAAGTTCATCGCGAATGTCCTTATCTTCATCGTCTGTCATTTCTTCACTTTCATCTTCGCTGTCATCTTCATTAGCTTCACCTTCTCCATCGTCATTACCATTTACCTCGTCATCTTCACTACCTTCTTCATTGGCTTCACTGTCATCTACCTCGCAATCTTCTATATCAAATCTGTAATAATTATAATTAATAATAAAGTCAGATTATGTAAGTCTCGCTCTTCAAAGATATTTAATATTTACCCATCAAGATATCTTAAACTAGGGATGAGACTAAACACCTTTTCTCTATAATTATCCATATTTGTAGCTTCATTGTTAAATAAATCCAAGTTTTGTAGATTTTGAAATTCTTTCTAAAAAAATGTATTTCGTGTTTTATTATTTCCTTAAATTGATTGAAGAATATAAATATTTAATTGTATAATTCTTACTAATGGTTGTAATGTTTCAAGATCTTTAATTTTGTTTCCACTAAGGTTAAGGTAAGTTAACTTTGGGCTTGTGAGAAGAAGATTTAAACCTCCAGAAATTCGGTTGTCACTTAATTCCAACTGAAAATAATAAAATACACATATATTCAACTATGGTTTCGAAAGATTTCATTGTAAATAAATACTTTGTAAAGAGTAAAGAAATTATTAAAATTATTCCTAAGAATAAAAAAATTACCTTTCGAAGATTGGGTAAAACAGGAAAGCCTTTTAAACTTGTGAGTCCTACGTTAATTAAACTTAAAGACTTTAAAGCGACAAATTCATCTGTGAGGCCTACAATATTTGTACTCCGACAATTGTCCAGTACAAATTCTGTAATCTGAAATCAAAAAATTTTTTCATCAAATGTTGCGTATAATAAGAAATATATTTCTATACTAACAAGAAAAGAGATTAAAGGTAACAAAAAATTATCATTTTATAATTCTACATCAAATAAAGTAGTGAAAAGATTAAATATTTATATTTTTAAGAATTAAAAATCACTTGATTTTTTTAAGCAAAGTATAATTCCTTTGTTTTTGTTTTTTCCGGATTTTTAATTATTTATCTATCTACTTTGTAGCTAGCTTTTGATATAAATTTTTTCAGTCGTTTCAACTAAACCGATAGGTCAATTCATATTCGGCCCAAGTCGCATCATTAACATCAATATCTAATTCTATTTGAATGTGAATAGAACTAAGATTTATGTTACATGGAGATAGATCAATGCTGATTCTTCTCCGAAATATCTATTTTATAGAAATGCGCAATGCAGGTCTCAGATTTTTTTTCGAACATCTAATATTTTTGTGATTTATTACATAATAGTAATCATAGAATAGTTTCTTTTATAGGCTTTGGGTAATAATTATGTATTTCCTTAAAAATGGATGACAATATATATCATCTGCTATTATTCTATTTACCTTTAATCATTAGTAGCATTATTATTAATATATAAAACTTCATTTTAATGCAAATTAGATATGACGATAAACTATTTAATAGATAAATAATAATGGCGCGACATCTTAATGGACAAAGAACCCAAAAACATGTTCTTGTTACGCTACTGACATGATGACTGTTTTCGCACCAACTATGTTATTGTACGCCTACACAAGTTTGTTGAAATAAAAATATTGAAATAATCATATTAAATGTATGAAAACACTCTGTAAATAATTAAATCAATAATATTAAATAAATTTATCACTTTTTGTGGACTAATGAAATAAAAACAGAGTCGATACAGATTTTCTAGCACTTGGCAACAAAATGGACTCGTCCAATATGGCGAACAAATTTGAGGGGCATACGACTGGAATACTCTAAATTTTATTTTTTTTTCAATTATTAAATATCTTCAATTTACTTCTACGAATTGAATGCATAAGTGCTATGTATGAATATGCAAGAGTATTATTCAATAATTGTTGTAGTTTTAATACACTAAATTAGTAAATTTTTCCGTATTTTCAAAGTACGGACATGTTGATCAGCTCACGACGCGGCTGATAAAATATAAAAACAGTTACAACTATCGAAATGTTTGCAATTTATTTATAACAATTATAAAATATATAAATTATAACATAAATAATTTTTCTTATAATTCGTAAAACATTACAAAGATCATCTATCAAATACGTATAGTAAAAAATCAAATTCACTACTCCGCTATTGATTTCGATTCGATATATTTATATTTAATTTTCATTATATCAAACTGCCTAACAATGATATAATGAAAATAATTTTAACCCTCAAGTTATCACTATGCTCAAAAGGTATCCGTATGTATTTTTCAACATTGTATCATTATTATAATTATTTTTTTTCTTGTAGCCAATTAGTTTAAACTGTTTTTTTCATTCATCTATCATACAGACATTATTTAAAAAATTATTAAAAGAATTTCGATAAATTAAATGTCAACTAGTAATTGATAATGAAAACAAACAAACAAATTCTTTACTTGATAAATTATTTCTCTTTTGAGAATTTTCGGAGCAATAAAAAAATTTACAAGTATTTTGTCTACAACCTATTTTAAATGAATAAGAATGACAAATTTTATCGGGTAAAATTTTTGGTTTTAATTTAGTTTTATGAGCATGTTTTAATACAATTGGTAATAACTAATTCAAAACAAATTATTGTTAGAAAGAATTGAATTGTAGCGTTGTTTTTAATCTAAAAATGAAAGACTGGCTAATTTACAGTTTTGTCATGAGCTCTTTAGTATGAGACAACTCCAATCAAAGAACTGGCTAAATTTATAACTATGAGAAATTTTATGTAACAAAATTACCAAAATTGACTTCTTTTTTTACTTTTTTCCGTATCGAAGAAGTGAATTTTGGTGACCTAGTTTCTTCTAGGACTACATATCACTTATGTGAGAATAATTAGCTTCGCGTCATAAAGCTTTAAATTTTTTAGTACACTTTACTAGCATCAAGATACCGTTACAATATTTCTGCACTCAAATGATTATTTAAAAAATTACGAATTTACAAAATTGATTAAATAATGTTTAATAAATAATTTAATATTAATTGTTATGATCAACTCAAAACATGCATGTTACGATGCAATTCATATTTAACATCCAATTTATTAGATATTGTATGTCAATTATTTTTGATTTAGTAGGCTTTTTAAAATTTAATAAATTTTCAATTAATTAAAACAGTAATAAATAAATTGATAAAAAATATATCCTGTGGGTCAGAAGTAAATCTGGAAAAAGTCAATGAGTTAAGACATACTAATAATATACTAGTATAAGCTAACGATAATCAACTTATGTGAACGGTTGTTAGTACCTGCTGTTGCAACACCGCAATAACATTGTCGAACGATCAAGCAAAGTAAAGGATATTTCACATTTTCAGAAAAGCCGCGTGGTAAACTATAGAATAAAAAAGTTTTATTTTTAAACGATAAGAACTAAAGATAAGAAATATTTAGTGATGGCGTTACAAATTTTTGTAACTGTTTGAAAGATGAAAGTGAAATAATGACACATATAATGGAATGAGTGTTTTAAAAAATGAGAAAAAAAATCAAACGTACAAAGCACAATGGAATTAATGAATGAAAACAAAAATGCATCGCAGATGTACATGCCTATTGTGGCAATGAAATGTGTGAGATATTCTACAGCGTATCGCGCCATGCCTACTGTGTCGTAGCTTCTCTCGTGTCGGCACTTCGAACGCGGCTGTCCATTACAATTTATAAAGCCACGCGGTTTCGCGCCTAGGAAATTTGTGTAACTTGAGACTACACAATACTTTCATAATTAAAAGATAATAAACTATCAAGATTGTTGCTTATAATGATTTGTCTACGGTAGACAAATAATTACACCAAGTATCTTACACGTAGCTTTTCTAAACTCACTCAAAACAGAGAACGACGTAAGAGAAGAAAGAGAAAGAGAGAACACGCACACCCGCGATACACACGACTTTGAATAAAGCACATGATAATAATTATTTTTCCTTACTTCAGCAGGATTTCTTCCACGTTTCTCAAGCTCTATTCGTTTTTCCATGGCCGGCTAACTTTCTTGACACCCGTAACACTGATTACTGCACCTTCCTGCGTCGCAACAACTAGTCACAATCTTGCTTTCAAACCGGGAATATGACGGACTGTACGATGTATCGGTCACACCAGTCGAACAGAGCCACCACCGTACACACAGCTAACCAACCCAATGCCGGTTCGATTGTAGCTTAGGCCCTACGCTCTTTGGTCAAACACTGCACTGGCGTGTATCCCCACTTTCTTCATATATAACAACAACCATCGAGGCGGGAAATTAAACACATGTCTGGAACTGCCTTCGAAGTAGCCAATCATATACAAATAATTTCGCGACTGCGTCATTTCTGACCTCTTACGGCTGAATGATGAACTATAATCCTCATGGCGGTAATTTATGATTGAACTAATTGTCTCTATTTATTTGTATTTTTTCACGATGTTATTAAATTTCCAATTAAAATAAACAAATTATGATTGATTGTTATGTATGTTAATATTTTATTTTTTATGTATTCCTTGTGAATATGTTTTTTGAAATTTGATTTTTAGTTTTAAATTAGAAGGAAAGTAAATAATTTAATTAATTTATGATTATGATAATGTCAGACCCTATCATTAAATAGCTTTATGTTATTACTATGCGTTCCGGCCCTGAACAAATAGTACAGAATTCGTCTGAGGTTGGAAATCAATATGCATTCATTGATTGTCCTCAGTTTACATTGCATTGGTTGATGAGAATTTTTTTGTCACTTTTTCACTCGAGTAATAGATAAATCTATGGAAAGTGATCATTCTTGATAAATTAAAATAGTATAAGATTTTATATATTGATTGAATTACAATTATAAACGACTATAATTATCAACTGTACCCATATATCTAGTTTATGTCACGTATAGTTGTAATAGTTAAGAATGTTTACATTTTTTGAAATTTTATTTTATAAATCAAAGTTTTACCGTTTTTTAGTAGTTGCCATATTTATATAGATTTAATAATAAATTATATAGATAGATACTTATACTATTGACACTAAATTCATTGTAAAATTTCCACTACATAGAAAACTTACAAAAATAATATAAAATAAGAGCTAATTGATAAAATTACTGTACTAATAATAAGTGGACTTACCTTACATTGCTCATTTTCTAAAACATTGTCAGCATAACATTGAAGAAAAAAAAAACATTTTTATGTTAATACTGAGTTGAAATGTCTTAAATGCTACAAAAATAATTCGTCATCAAGCTACTAAACTCCAATAAATAACTAAATATAGTTATATTATTTTCAACTATTCATAAACTTACCATTAGCAGTATTTTTAATTACTTAATTAATAAAAATTATATCAAAAAATTACTTATCCAAAGTTTCCTTATTATGATTTCACTTCAGGCTTAGGAAAAATAATATTAATCCATTATTAAATCATCAAAAATATTTTATATATAATCTTCAAGATATATTTTTTTATATCAAATAATTGAAATTAATAATAACTGATCTAGAAATATAATTATATCTTTCTTTACAATTTACATTTTTACAAACAGTTTTATCTAATCTAGTATGTAAACCAACAAAAATTCACAGGACTTATTATAAAAAAAAATTAAATAGTAAAAAAAACAAAGTAACAAGAAAGTTATACCCTCAATGTATTTCGAGCATTGCAAAATAACAATATTCGAGAACTATGGAAAAATTGTCATCGTTTATCTAACTCCAATTTTGTTGAAACAATTAGATCTCGAAGATTCGTACGAGTCTCATAACACTGGGAAGACGGCTGGATTTTTATATGACAATCTGTGCTTGAAGTATTGATAATATGATCAGAACTACATTGTTTTTTTGTAACCCATGATTCACTATCACAAGCTATTAATTTTCTTTTCAGACCATGAAATTCCTGCTTTGAAGGAGCAAATGATGATCGGGTTTTGCGTGGTTGATAATCAGGTATTGCTTGCATCCGTTCTAAAGCTGCATGAAGAGGTAATAAACCAACAGCAAATGGTATTTCTTTGCTTAAAGAATGTTCTGGGATTAATGTTGCATCCTTTTGATTTTCTAAAATATCGGACATATCGCCCCATAATGCTCGATCAACTGAAGCTATAGTATTTAGTCTAAGAGGAACAAAAGCTTCATTTTCAAGAGACTCTATTTTTTCTAACTTCATGTTTTTTAACTTGGATGTTTTTGCTTTTGGTTCATGTTTAGTAATTTTTGAATAAGAACGAGAATTATTACTACGTTTAGAAGCTATTTTAGCAGCACTCCGTACTGAACGAGAATTATTAGAAACTTTTTTCTGTGATGCTACTATGTTTTCATCAGCAATTTTTGTTTCAGATTCCTTTATTTTACGTTTTGATTTTGTTACAGGCTTAATGGTAGTTAAAGATTCCCTTTTAATATAAATCGCTTTATCTTCAGGTTTTTGACAAATTACTTGATTACAACTATTCACTGAATTATCTTCTGATTGATTTAAACGTACACTGCGTCTGAGAATAGGAGTTTTTTCAATTGAAATATTATCATTATCTACTGAAAAGATCTCCTTTATTTGTCTGATACTTTTGTAGTTTAAAATAACAGATTTTTGTGCATCAGTTTCATCATTCATATTTTGCTGTCTATCACTAATAAAAATATTAGATTGATTGATGGTGCCAGGAACATGATAGATATTTTCAGCTGTCAAATTCCACGTATAATCTGTCGTTTCAGTATCAATTACTGAAGGTAAAGTAATAGGTATATTAATATTAGTATCACAGAACAGATCATTTGATAAATCTATGCTATCTGTTGCATATGTTTGGGATAGCACATCACACATATTTAATACAAAAGATTTTTTGCTATTTTCAGGATTACGTTTTTTGTGCGTATAAACTTTCGAACATTCTCCAACTCCACTTATAACATCTAATGAATCTGATTCACTATTTTGTGCTGAACACGCGATTAAACAGTCATCAAATATTTTATCAGGATTTGTTAGTACGATTTTATCATCACAATCATTTTTTTTCATTAAGCTAAGATTTTCCTTTCTGGAATTAGTCATATTTGATTTTAAATTAGTTGTTTCCTCAAAAAATAATTGATTTGTAAATACTTTTGTACTATTAATTGTTTCACTGGCTGTATATTCATTTTCTTGAGTAGAATTATTTGTTAAAATATTTTCGATCGATTGATTATATTTTAAATTTGTATCATCAAACAATTCGATTAATGTTATTGGGGATAGTGATTTTTCAGCAGTCTCTTTACCACTCAATTTAACCTGTACACGACTTTTTCCGGACGTAGAATTATTTATATTATTAAACTCTTCGTTTGTTTTTAGTGACTCGTTACGATCAATATCATTTTTTGATTCCATCATATTATTAACTATTGATTCAAGATCTCTTACCTAAACAAATAACAAGTTACATAAATAAGTAAATATGCATACATTTGTATGTATTTTCTTACTTATATAATTAATAAAAATAAATAATTATTTACCTTAAAAATTTGTGCAGCATCAAGTAAAGACTGTAAATGGCAGTGAGCTATTGTAGTTTCCCCACAATACATAAATTCTACCATTGCTTTCAAAATATCAAAGTCCAGATCTTTAAGTACTATTATTGGTTCTTGACCCAAATCTTGTTCCAGCATTTCCTTTATTGAAAGTAATTAATTTTTAATGCATAAGTCTTTCTATTATAATTGGTAACAATATACAAATATACGTGAGATTTAATGTCACCTCAAAATAAAGACTACAAGAAGCCAGTACCAATTTATGAACACGCAGTTTTTGTTCTTGGCAAATTAAAGTGACGTCTACTAAAGCTTGCCTTGCTAGAAGACCACTGAATCTTTCGGTAATACTTGCTGCATGACCAGACCACTGCAAAATGTATTCTTTCCCTGTTTCATCCATTATTATTTCTGTAAAAGCTTTGGATCGAGGACATTATTTTATGACATAAATTTTTTTACCAAATTAATATAAATAAAAATTATTTACCTGAAGCATATAAATTTTTACCAACTTAAAAATTCTTGATGTTATTGGAAATATTATAAACTTGTAAATATGATAATTAAGAATTGAACTTAGCGTATGTGATGGATTTTCACCGTCATTAAATATAAGTTATCCACGCTCTCTTGATAGCTTGAAAAATGTTTGGAGAACATTATAATAGTTGAGAAAACTCTTTAAATAGTATAGATCTTTTATAAAGTCGCAGTGACGGTGATGTACAGGAGCCAGAATCAAAATTCAATCTTTTTATCCATCTTTTTTGTATATCATACACACACAAGCTGATCATCACAAACGAGAAATCAAGGCCTCTGACGTTTAATAAACGGCAAGTATTCTTATCTGACTGAAGTAACGAACATTTTTTGATATCATATTCATGTATATTATTGCAAGCTTATTCAAGATGTTGACGCCAATGTACTTGTAGTCAACAAACCAACCTCAGAAGTTTCTATTTGTTTCCACCGAGGGTCAGCACTTCCATTACACACTACTGCTAGATTCTAATAATAATAAACTAGATTCTACGCTTATGTACACATACAATTATTTAAAAATTTCCATTTATTATTATATTACTTAATTATAATCATACTATTCAACATCGAGAATTGTAGAGGAATTTTTTTATATATCATTTTTTAAATGATTAGAATTTTGTATTCAAATAAAAAATCAAATATAAGTAAGAAAAAAGTTAACCTTATATCTATGTATACATGTGATAAATTATTTACATTCAATAGTTTCATTAACCCCATCAAATACATGAATATTATTTTAAATTATAAGAGATATTTGAATTGTCGTAATAAACTCCTGTAGTCGTTTTTAATAATGGAACAATTTTTTATTCTGTTATAGATTCTTTAATTTATACATGGGTACAAAAAATGAGTTCATCTGTTGATAAACCAATAGAAAACAAAATCAAAACTACATTACAAAGTGCTTTAAAGCCAACATATTTAGAAATATTAAATGAGTCATATATGCACAATGTTCCAAAAACTGCAGAAACTCATTTCAAAATTATAGTTGTTTCGAAGCAATTTGAAAACCAGCCACTGATCAAGGTATTTGTTTCCAAGATATTTAAATGTAAAAAATATTTTCAATCTTTATGTCTTTCAGCGTCACCGAATGATAAATGAGCTACTTGCTGATGAATTACAAACTAATATTCATGCTTTATCTATTATTGTAAGTAACAATTAAAGATCTAAGTAGTTTATGTAGTATACTATGACAAATGCTCCGAGCTTTATAACTTTCTGAATCATCTCTACTCCAAAATAAATTTCAACATGAAAAAGAATTTTACTCTGGTACAGATTGTCTTTAAAATTTCCTTATTTAAAAAAATTAATACTTGCAAATAATTTTATTAGAAGAATATATATTTACTCCAATTTCATAATTTTTGGAGGTGAATTAAAATTTTAATAAAATGTTGGAAAAGACGTTTATTTATTTAAACATTTACATAGGTCTAACAGCAAAACCAGACTAAGACCACAGATAGGTAGTAATAATATTACGAGGAGAAAAGAAAAAATAAAATAAAATAATAGTGCAAACATGAAGTACGTTGTGATTAGTCATTCATACAGGAAATTGTTCTTAGCAAAGACTTTATCGATTTGTGACTTATATACTCTCAAGTCAAATTATTTTTATTGTGAAAAATATACACTAGAAAGATTTCATTTGTTAAGGAAATGTATTTTGGAGCAAAAAAAATTTTAAGGGAAGAAATATTGATAGTGCATATATCATACAGTTACTATTTAAACTTACGTCAAAAAGAAATTTTATTTATGTACAGGCTAAAACACCGTCTCAATGGAATGAATTGAGTAAAAAAATTGATCCAAGTCCAGCATGTCGAGGAGGTTTTGGAAAATAATGCTAATAGGTGGCTTATTTTACTATTAAGATTATTATAAATTTTTATTATACACAGTAAATTGTAAAATTTATCAATTTTAAGGATTACTTACATGGACATATTTTATTTGTTGTAAAAATGGAAAACAAACGAAATGAAAATAAAAAGTTCTTTAATGTCACATTGCGAATGCATCCAGTCTCAATTTACCCTCATTTTCACTGAGATAAAGAATATCTGCCATTGATTGTTCAATCATCGTTTCTTCAGCTTTATCATGCATCTATAAATAAGTATTTTTAGTAATTTTTTTTAAATAGGAATAACTGATAAATATTGAAATGAAGTAATAAATGATCAAGACACTATTTGGTTATAATAAATACTTACTCCTCTAAAGGTAATATCAGTTGGTGGATATTTGAAATTAGGACCAAAGTTAACAGAAACAGTAGCACTTTTATGAATTGATATGGTTGGGTAATAAGCACCTCTATTAATATCAATAAATGCATCTCCTTGACATACACCATTTTTATAAAATATAATTTTACTTCCTTCAAGAGGTTTTAATGCTTTCAAAGCTTCAGGAACTTGATCTTTTTCTTCATAATATAAATGACTTTTGAACTTTACTAAAGGCTAAAAACAAATTTAAGTTAATTTTTACACTTACATAATTATTTAAAACAATAAATTTAATTGACAGAAAATGTTAAAAATTGATTATATTTATTGTTTTAAATTTATTGTATTTTTTAATCAATAAGTAATAATATTTTCTAAACGTATTTTTGCCTCAAAAACGTTATAAAAAATTAAGGACAACAAAACTTCATTCTTACTCTATCTTTGTAAGTGTTAGGTATATGAGAAGAATCGTATGTGTCTGGTAAAGTAATAATGAAACCTAAAGTATCTCCTTCTCCATAACTTGGACTGTAGTGTTTTCCTCGACTTTCATGAAATTTTGTACCTTTCCTATTTGTAAAAAATGTATGAGATAAATTTTGTAAAAAGTAATCATTTTACTAAAAATTTCTAATTATTTATAATAAACGATAAGTTACCTTGATCTCCACGAATATCCAAATTTATCATATCCCAAAGGAGCCTGTAAATTTGCATATTCTTGTCCCCACCCTAGTCTAGTGGCAGAACCTTCTGGCATTTCTTCAATTGTTGTTTCCCAGTACCAAGTTCCTCGACTTACTGAATGTGTTGCTCTAACCATACAATAACCTTTTTCACCTGTCACTGCTAGTCGATCTTCAGAAACTTTCAATTGTGGTGCTCTGTCGTGCAGAGCCAATAATACAATACTTGGACTTAGTGCTCGATAAAGCCATCCAGGAATGGGTTTTCCTGCCCAATCACTGCTCTCGTCGAACTCCTATTAAATTGTTCGACCAATATATTATTTTTTTGTACATGAAATTAATATGGATAAAAAAACCTTAATTTAGACAACATAAATTTATTCAAAATAAATTCAATTTAAATTTCATGGAATTTCGATGTTCGTAAATTTTTTAAAAGTTAGTAGGATATGTATGTTCTATCTTTTACAATTTTAATTATTTGATTTTCTTTTGTTTTTATTTATTTCAATGTATGTAACCTAAGTTGATTTTTTATTAACCTCAACAAATTTTTCGATTTGTTTAAATTTCAATATTTTTTTTTATCAATTTAAGTTCCTATAAACTTTAGACAGTAAAAAATTATTTAATTACTTGATACAATTAACATATTGTCTTGTAATTACTTGTCGAAAAGGTGCATGCGGATCAGGCTCAGCCAATATATATCTGTATCCGTCTTTATTGAATGGGTGCTCCAGTGGATAACCATGAGCAGGCAATTTGGGTGTTGACAAATCAGAGCCACGTCCTTTCTTTCCTGGACCAGTAGCAGCACCTTCTCCAGGAAATTTACGCTTTGCATTTCGACCTCGAATTCCAGTGGTCAATGGTACTAGAAACAACCAATTAATAAATTAGATAAGTACATTATGGTTCTATATTGTTTAATTCTTTAGTTTATAAAAAACATATGATTTAATGACAAATGAAAAGGTATTCATTCCAATGTGTAGAACATGAATAATTGAAAAAGAAAACTATCAAAAACATTACACACCAGTTTTAAACATGATTCACTTTAAGACTAAATGTAACTGAAAAATATTACTTCAGAACTAAATGATGGATTATATTCAATAATCACTAGAAATATATTGATTAATGGTGTATAAATTAGCGATCAATTATTTTTCAAAAAAATTTTAAAAGTTTCAGATATAAAAAATTTTATCTATCACTTCTTAATCATTTTTAGATTATTGTGCAATTGTTGGCTCACATACCGACATGTTGTACTCCCATTTCTGTGATTTTTAAGTGTCCACCTTTAATCATTGCTTCGTAGTTCGGTTTTATTAAGACGAGGTCCGGAGTAGTTAGTCCAAATAATTGTCCATCTGTGTTATTTTCATCCATTGTAAAAAGAGTTCCCACATCTTTTAATAGAGCTCGATGAACCTGAAAAATGAAAAAAATATGTAGATTATAAGAATAATTTGTTCATAAATCAATTTACAAAATAACTTACTGTTGCGTGCCAAGATTGTGTTACACGTCTAGGCATTGTGGTCATACTTTCCCAATGACATTCAATAAAAGGAATTATATCTCGATCTTTATGGAATAACATTTTTTGTTCAGGATCCTTTTGAGCAATTTGTAAAAGATTTGCTATGGCTGTCACACACATTTGCGGGAATGCTACATTGAAAGATAAAGAAAATTAATACTTTGACTGACTGATCTGACTTTAGTTTTGATATAAAAAAAATGGATTAATAGTTATGTAATTACGCGCTTGATTTTTTTTAAAACTTTCAAGTCCGGAAGGAGAACAATTTTTACACATAAATATGTAGTTCATCATGAATGGAACAAGTTTTCCTAATTGATAACTGATACAAGATTCATGAAACCACTTGGAGCAGCAAGCACATAAGAGTTCTGCAATACTTAAGTTTCTATCTTTTCCACTAAAATAAAAAAATAAAAATTTTTAATTATTTTCAAAATATATTAGTAAAATGATACTAATTGGTTGATTTTTAAAATAATCAATTTCTTACCAATAACAATTACCGGCATCACCACCATTCGTAACTGTCATGCTGATACTGTTGTTGCAAGGACTTTTCATTTTATCAGAAATTTCATCTGTCTTTGATTTTTCTATATCTTCACGATTAGCTGGAATTTTTTCAACAATATTACTTGTTGAAAATTCTTCTGGCTTATCTGTTATACTGAAATATTTATTACTTAAATTAACATTACTAAGGACTTTCAGTATTTATAACCTTTTGATATAGCTGTAATTTATCTACTAATATTTAATTAAACTACGCAAATTAAAACACGTATAACTATTTTTAAACTTACGTATCTAATTTTTCATCCGTCATTTTTAATAATTTAAAGAGTAATTTATACTAATTGTTTATGTTTTATTTATTTACAATCTTTTCTCTGTTTTATCTCAAATTCAATATTATTATACATCATAGATGGCGATGTTTCCGTCAAAGTATTCTGCGCACGCGTCATATAGCACGCGTCAAATTTTATTTTTCTTTACACTTTATTGGCTGAAGAAAATGGGAGTTGAAATATTCAACGATGGAAGATGAAGATTCTTCTCATAAATGTGATATAAAAATTTATTCCATGTTTAATGTTTTATTTAAAAGAAAATAAAAATTTTGAAGATAATACTCAAAATGAAAATGTATAAACAAATGGAATAAAAAGTATGATGGATATATAAGTAAGTAAAAAAAAAATAAACTAGAACTTGGACGTGACAATACTGGGTTTCTGGCGGGTATCACATGAATTGCACGTCGGCGCAAAGGGTTGCAAGTTCTGTAGGAGCTTGCGTAGAAGACGTAATGTTTAGAGGGGAGCAGGATATGTAAAGTTGGAGAGGGCGCTTGAATCTACGTCAAGAAAAGCTCTGAGCTTATTGGTTGTACTATATTGTTACGTATTGATTATCAGAGATAGTAGTAGTATGATATGGTCGTTGGGATCTCTTGGTACTCGGCAGTGACGGTATGGCATGGTGGCGGCAAGGGGAATTGGCAGAAAGGAGAGTTTTAGATGAAAAATAATTAAGTTTATTATGCTGAAAATTGAGTAATGGTGTGATTAAATAAACAAATAAGAATGCTTTCTTGTGGTTTGGTATATAAGCTGTTCTTCTAAGCAGCATTACATTCATGGTCATTCATGTATAATAAAACCCTTGTTGCCGTGCTACGTAGTGGGGGCGGCACTGCTGAGGGGCAGCACAGTGGTGATGTAGTGTCGGTGTGGTGGTAACTAGTGAAGGGTTTGCTGATCATCCACGATTGTAACCACGTTCGTCATGCCTAAAGGCTACAGTGCGGTATATCTCATGTTTTGAACGATCATGAGTCATTTTATCATTCGTTATACACGTTTAGAAATTTTTATTTATGATTATTTACAGGATTAAATATTGCAGCACGACGTAGACGTTTTTGCTGTCGTGATTGTGTTCACGCGTAACTTTTGGTTCACTGTGCTAAGAGAATTGCGCTGTTTCCATTTTCCTGATGTCACGTTATTCTTGTGCATGTATTAATCGAATTAAGCGTAGAACTTTTAAATATTATAGCGTGCAGAAGGTGTACACTTAAAAATAATTCAATAAAACACAATCTGAGTTACAATTAAATAAAAGAAAGAAAAATATAAAACGCCACGTTGTTGTTGGTAGTGTCAAAGGATTTCTGAAAAATTATGAAGCATCATCGAATTAAACGTTCATTGAGAGTGGTTGGTCGTAGAGGCCGGTGAATGTGTGACCCGGGGGCAGTGATCTGCTGGAATGACGTGCAACGAGACGACCGAGCAGCCTCCGGTAGACGAATGCCTCCTGGAACGGAAATGGTGGTGCTTTTTACTATCGAGCATCTTCACCTTTCTTGCCGGGTTGCTGACTGTTCTGATCTGGCGGGCATTCGCCTTCCTTTGGTGTCGGAAAGAACCCGAATTTGCTCCAAATGATCCCAAGCAAAAGGAGCAGAAAGCTGCTCGACAAAGCAAAGAGTTCGAAGGAACTTTTATGACTGAGGCTAAGGATTGGGCTGGTGAGCTTATTTCTGGACAAACTACTACGGGTCGTATCCTTGTAAGTATCTCCTCGTCAACATAATCATTCTATTACAAAAATCTTTATTGTAATTATATCAAAATATATGTATCAATCTATTCAAATTGGTGTCATCCCTCCTTTTATATAGCTGAAGGTCGGTTGTACAATATATTTTGTACGTGATTAGAATGCTCGCGGACGAATCGATAGTTTGGAGAGATAGACACATTTATTTAGAGACTACGTGATCCAGTGTATTCTAAACTCATTTTTCACGAATAATACTTTGTTTGTAACTTTACTTTATTTCATTAACTTATTTATTACGTTTTCGTCAATTATCTCAACTTTTATTTTTCATTAACTTTTCTCACTGAATAATAATTATCATTTTTTTACTTTCGTAATAAGTGGTGGTTTTTAGTACGTGATATTTTAATAAAATGGCTGAACATTCAATTGTATATCTATATACCATTTCTGTAATAGTTAAAAAAAGTTCGAACAAGAATTATTCAGTTGACCCAGATTTCCTGACTCCCTCGGTTTATGGTAGAAACGGTTAGACAGCCTGTCATTATCTCTGCGAGAATAGTATAAAGCAGATTTTCTCTCGCACTGTTTTGTTTTAGTGTCGTTTTTGCAGTTATAATACATCTTTTTGTTTCTTTTTAATAAGAGTTTAAAGACATACTTGAATGCAAGAAATATATGTATATATATATAAAATTATTTTATGAAGGTGAATTATTTTATAATTTTTTTTCTTTCATTATGACAAAAATTAAAATGACGAATGATTTAGCATCAGGTAAAGTACAAGAAAATCAAGTTAAGATGACAGTATATTTGTTTACAAACTGGGTTATATAACCGGAGGTAACTTTTTGCTCTACTTAGCCAGTGTTGTATTAGGTTACATCGAATGATTGACGTTGACAGTTTTTTTCAATCATTGCTTATATGGTAATTGAATAATGTAAAGCTCTTGTTACATTTTTATACTTGCCTGAAGTCAGCAAATATGAATGATAATATATTATTTTCTTACTTAATTTCTTTAAATTATTGAATATTACATGAAAATGAACTCATAAAATGACATTTACAAGGATTTAATTAAGGTTCTTAATTTCTCAGAATGAGCAAGTATGAGATAAGTATAAAGAGTAGAAAATAGAACAAACTGTAGAGCAAGTCGATTTAGGTTTGTATGCGCATTCATCGAGAAAATTTGATGTGCGCGCAGACATGATTTGGTTTTTGTACGGTTGGATGGAAAGCTTTACTACTTTTATCCAGATAATAACTGGGTTGTTATTGTGATGATGCAGTATCTTCAATATTATTTCATTTTATTGTTAAGACATAAACACTTATGGGACTTTATATGTTCAATAAAAAATTAGTAAACTATTTATATAATGATATTTATCATTTTCAAAGTAACCAAATTTGCGAATTATAAGTTATTTTTAAACATTAAAGAGACAATTTAAATTTTTCAAAAGAATTTCATTGCAATTAATGTTATAGTTGATTTTATTATGTTATTGTAAAAGAACAACGTAAAATTTTCATATTTATTTCATGAATGTGGAAAATTTCAATAAATGTGTTATACGGTAATGAATACTGTAATATTTGTTATTCCTTTGTGCTCTATCAGCTCATTAAAATTTTTCTAACGATTTACTTCGTAACAAAGAGGATGATAGTAAGGGTCTTATTCTACATATTTTAATATATCGATTTTCCAATTTGAAAATCAATAAAAAATACACGGTTTACTGTTTTTAATAATTAAATGATGAATATGAAAAACTCAAAGATACTATTGTTCAGTAACAACATTGAATTGACATTTTTAAAAAATAAAAATGATTTCATCAGTATATAACTAATTTAGAGAAAAACTTAATTTAAATCTTAAGATACATCGAAAGACTGAAATTAGCGTTGGTATGAAAGAGAGAAAAGTGTTAGTACTGCATTTAGCAACACTAATAGAATCTGTTGCCAGGGCTAATGATTGTCGCAATGCTACTATCTAAGGTGCCTTTGAAATTAAAATACGTGAAATAACTGAGTCATTCTTTGGCATTCTTATTATAATTAATGTAAAGATATCCAAAAAATATTTGTCGATTGTAAATCAAGTTTTCTCATAATTTTTAACCGATTACTAATTTTCATTCGTTAAATAACTATTTTTTCTTTCTCATTTACATTTCTACCAAATGCATATTACTGCATATTAGCTTTAAAAAACTGCTGTTGAAAATCATTAGAAGTTTTTATGTAAATTCAATGAATAAACCATACATACATTAAAAGCTTTCATTCGAATAGATAAATAATAAATTAGCCAATATATGATATATCCTTTTAGTTGATATCATCATTAGGAATTTTATTAAAAAAAAATTATCCATAAATAGTCGATTAAGTTTTTGACAAATTTACATTTAATAAATATAAACAAAAGTGAATGTATGAAGTTTACTCATTATCGCCAATAATGTTTTAAAATAAAAAAATAATATTTCGAATCATAAGTTAGTTAACTTGGCACCGCGGTTACATTTCGCGCATACGTATGCGCCATGACCTCTGCTTACACTCCCACTTTTTCAGTTCAGATGCACTTGTACTCGAGAGTTGGATATAGCAGATAGCTGCTGCAGAAAACACCTGAGGTGTAAACCACTTGTTCTTACCTCTTGTGTGCTTGAACGATCGGATGGACAGAATTTTTGGAGCGCAAATCCAACTTATGTTACATAAAACTTTGTCAAGAGAATAACAAGATACTTGAGTAGATATTGATTGATACATTTTAAACTGTTTTTCTTTATTTGAACTGTACACGGAGAAAATTTTTTCACTAAATGTAAGTGCAAAAATGACAAGTTTACGTTTCGAAATTTATAAGTAAAAATATTTCTGTTCAACAGTAAATTTTGGGTTGTCGTAAGTAATTCTTTTACTAAGACACCTTTTAAGTCACAAGTTTACTTACAAGAACTCAAAATTTACTATCAAACAGAAATATTTTTACTTATAAATTTCGAAACGTGGGCTTGTCACTTTTTGCACTTAGATTTAGTGAAAAAATTCTCTCCGTGTATATTATAGATATTTCTGATAGATATCTTTTCACACGAGTTGTTAAAAAAATATTCAGCTAATACAACATTTGAATAAAATCCTTTATTGCTTGTGAATAAACTAGTAATTCATCAAATATCTTTATATTTGAAACAATTAGATACACTGTAAAAAGTGAATTGAAAATTCTACGATTTTAACTTACAACTGTACATGAAATTTCCGAAACACTGCCAATGACGTTTTATTTCAAAAACAACTGTAGGATAATTCTGTGTCAACATATCCTGTACGGATATTCAATTATGTAGCGTAAAATTCGATATATTAGTTGAATTTTAATAAATTTTATTGAAATTTACTTATGAAATTAAAAATTCATCTATACTGACTGAAAATTACAACACATGTATTAATTATTTGTATTGTAATGTTTTGTGTTAAGTATTTTTCAGTGTACACATTGATACACGCTTAATGTCGGTGAGTTGATAACCTTAAAAGTTTTTCGTCGATATTCCTGCACAATCCTGAATAGAAATAAAATATTTATATTTCAACAATGAATGTAATTATATTTTTTGAATCCCAACACTGAATTCTTTTAATCACCAAAACATTTTCTGATATGTTCATTTGACATATGTATAATTGACATATATCTAATTAAAATAATCTTCTTAATAAGTCGATAACCGAGTAGGTTACGGTACCTGATTTAGATACATACGAGTTGGCGGTCGTAGGTTCGAATCTTTCCCAGGATAAGCTTCACTACAATATGGCTTTTCGCAGTATTTTTACAAGCTAATATTGTTTACTCTTTAATGTGTCAACAATGAAAAAATCTTAAATAATCTAAAAAACTTTTTATTTTATTTTTAATAAATAAATATCGGGGTTGCTTTTAACGTAAAATTTTCATCTCTTATTCAGTGTAAGGAATTTACTTCACAAATATTTAGTAAAATTAATATACAATTGTATATTTGAAAAACTTCCATTACATGTACATTAAAATTACTACAGAAATTTTTTACAGTGTATTCTATTCCATTTATGATCACTGTTTATTAATAATATTTAACTGTTTATCAAGAGATACGGTAGTGTCTCGTGCGCCAAACATAAATTGCCGCCATTTAGCCCTTACGTCACGACGAGGCACTACCGTGTCTCTATACAAATTATAAGATGATTTATAACAGATTTATTTTTTTTTAATATTCCTTTTCAGTTGATATGTACAAAAAATGGTGAAATCTCATCAAAAACAGCCCTCTCCTTCTGGGCTGTACAAAAATGTGCGCCAAACATAAATAACGACAATGATGAAATTACAAAAAGTCCTAAAATCATTAAACGCCAATTATTTAAATCTACAAATCAACCATATTTAAAATGAATTATTTTCTTCGGTTTTTTTTTTTTGAAAAAAAATTTAGTACGTTTAATGACACAATAAACATAACAACTAAAAACTTGGCGTGACTGTTAAGATTTTATAAAAGCATGAAATCGTGAAAATATTGAAAATATTTAAGCCAATTAATAAATAACAGTACAATTTCACAGGTATCGACATATATTGTCAAATATACTTTCATTTAGGCCGTAAGAGAGATGGCGGACAGCGAAAAGCCATGATGAGTGCAGGCAGGAAAAGTAAGAAATAAGACACAAGTGTGAGATAGCTTAAGTGGTAGAGTTTCCTAGCGCGTAACTATAGTCCTATAGGAAGATCCGGATTCGAATCTCGGTCCCATCAAGTTGTCTTTATTTTGAAAAGTAGGCCTGTACAAGTTGTGGTAAAAGTTGCGGTGGACTGCTGCAACGTGAGTGTGCAAGCTAAATAATAATTACCCTATAAAAATGACAAAACCACATTTTAAAGTAATACAAATATGTCTGTCTAACGATAGTTT